TTTAACTGTGAAAGTCTTACCAGTACCACCTTGACCACCAAAGAAAACATTGTGCCCTTCAGCAGCAAGATCGAATATTTTTTTTGCTCATGATTGAGACCAGAATTGATGGTATCCGTATCACACCTTTATAAATATTAAAGTTATTAAAATAAATGATATTATAAACTTTAATGATACATGTAAACAGTAAAACACACTTTATTTGATATTTGGTCAGAAATATAGAAAACAAGAGTAATAATTTTACCAAAACACATATAAATACGTACATATTCATTTATTATGTTCAGCAACAAGGGGGAATTTCGTTCTCGACTTATTTGCTCCATTTGCCAACGGGAGACTCCGAAGAAGTATCGTGTCAAGATCGGAAATAGTCGTGTCATAGCAACCTATGGAACACATCCAGACATTCACTCATGTGCAATCGATTGAGAAAAACATTCTCATAAGCAATTATTTTGAACAGTTTAACCGAACGATATCGAAGAATAGGCCCTAGTATACTTTATGGCAACATAAAACTCTTATTTTTTATTTGTCATAGCAACCTGTGGAACACATTCGGACAGCCTTCGCCAATGTTTCATCCCTTTATTTTTTCCTTTTTAGCTCTAGCGCTCTTGTCAGCCCGCAACCAGCCCGCAACAGGCAGGCCGCGCGCCCTTAGATTCAGCACTGAGCTATATAAATACTATATGTACATTCAATATTTGCTTTCAATAAGATATGGGATGGGCTCCCTGTGAATATACATGAACTTACGGTTAAAGCTCAACAGCTGGACTCTGTAGCTCAGTTGGTTAGAGCGCTGCACCGGAATCGCAGGGCCGTAGGTTCAATTCCTACCAGAGGACCTTGTGCTGCATTTTTCGCAGTCGTTCCTGGTTAGGTCTTAAAATGTATATAATTCTCACTTGGATTACAAACCCTAACATTCTAACATTTGAAATTAAGGATTTGGAGGTTTTGCGATCACTGATAACTTGATAATAATATAAAACAAAACACTTCTATCTGCAACTTTTACTATCACTGATAACTTGATAATAATTTAAACCAGTCAAGTTGTAGTTTAAATAGAGAATAATACATGGGTGCACGAAATACCAGATTTATTTCGAGTGTTGAACATGAGTGCGGAGCGAACAAGTGAGCGCATCGAACGAGTGAGATGTCATGTTCAACACGAAAAATAAAATTTAATCTGGTATTTCCAACCACCCATGTATTTTTCTGTTTATTATATAAAGGACAGTCTTTGAAAAGCGATAATTTTTACAGAAAAGCGATAATTGAAAAGGCGATAATTTTCACATGTGAGATTATCATGAATAATTTCACATGTGAGATTATCATTTTTATCAGTGCTCGAAATCTCTTTAAAATACTCATTAATAATTCATAAACCTTGTGGCAAACATGTCAGCCATAATATGTCACGTGGAGTGACTTTATATCTGATAAAACACATGTGGCATTATATAATTGTTCATCTTAATTAGCATGATTATACTATGGTTCATCCTAATTAGTATTCTTTTGTAGTCGTATTTTAAGCTATTCAAAACACTCGTTGTCGTGTTTTATCAGATATATAACGCTCGGCTGCACTCCTACTCGTGTTTTAAATAGTACATAAAACACTATACTTTATATGATAAAAATTCATAAATTTGAACCACGCTAGACCATGACAACAGCAAAATGCTCTATAGTATGATGCACAAAATTTTGGGAGATGAAATACACGAACAATAAATCAGAGAGTGTTTGCGTGAATGCGTGAAACTCACTGGTGGGGGGGGGGTGGGGTGCAACACCCCTGATAATTGCTCATGAGGAATTTCAGGTAGATTTCCAGTGCACTTTTAGGTAAATTTAAGTAGATTTGCAGAAGATTTTCAGGGGAATTCAGGTAATTCTCAGGACATGAGAAAGTGAATTTGGAAAACAACTGTATTTTCGGAAAAATTATTATATGTCCTGAAAATTTTTTGTACATCTGGAAACATTTTGGTAACCACCCCCCCCCACCCCCCTATCTAACCTCACACACCCCCTGAGACGAAGTGCTAGCAACGGCACTGAGTATACATCTTTTGAAAACAGGCGAGGGGTTATTGCATGCATGTATTTCTAGTATAAACTTACTACATTTATTTGTATACACGTCTAGAAAATCGGGTTTTTTATCATAAGTTTGAAGCAACACTATTATTATGTTCGAAGTGACTATATGAGTATTATGTTGACAAGGTGTAGCGAAAGCACAAAATGAGTAAAAAATATATACCAAAAGTAGAATCTTTCATGAAATTTTGTCTTATACACAACTACATTAATATATATTTTATAAATTTTGGCAAGAAGCAGTCTTGTGTTTGTAAAATATACAAACACATATACAATTATAATTTATTAAATAAAACGGATACATATATTATTAGCCCGTACAGTACTGTATATAAAAACGTACATTGTTTACAAATGGTATATCCGTAATACTTGAACAATAATTTCAAAATCCTCATTCCCAATTCGCAAATATAGTTATTCAAAGCAAAACAGTAGATTGTCTTGCGAATAAAAGTTATTATTTTGTACTTTCGCTTCACCTTGTCAACATAATAATAGTGTTGCTTCAAACTTTATGATAAAAAAACGATTTTCTAGACGTGTATACAAATAAAAATAGTAAGTTTATACTATAAATGAGTTTATTTTACCTGTATCGGTTTAAATTCGCTGTTAAGTTGCAAATAATTCTGTTTGAGAACGCAATAATTGAGCATTTCGCAACCAGGGCAGTTTCAGGGCAGTTTTGGCCTTGTTGTTGGGAAATCCACTAGGCCTCCTATTTTTCCGCTTGCGTCAGGCTTGTGTCCTTCCTCCGCCCCGCCCCCAAATCACCTGGTCCAGTCTTTTCATGTGAAAAAGCGCTGAATCTTAAAAAAATATAAATAAAAATAGAAGGCCTAGGTCTAGGCTGATATAAACACACTCATTACTGAATATATCCGGTTGGCAAAATGGCGATTGTCAGACCTTCGCGAAATGCTTATTTTTGCTAACAAACTGTTCACGAGGGTTTCGTTCTGTTCGAACCAGAGGTTCATCGTCATCGGCTGCCTCAATTTCTTCGTCGCTTTCGTCCTCTCTAAAGCGAGTCGCCGAGGCAAACAGCGTTAATATTTGCTGTCTTTCCAAGGCCTTCCAAGAGCTTCAACATTTGCCAACGTTGTTGCTTGACAAACTGGGCAATCGCTGATGTTGATCGCGGATGCATTCGATGTGGAATGAATGTCCACAACCACGGAAAACGTTCCAAGTGGATTAACCTTTTTGCAGGCAGGTGAATTGCATTTTCTATGATGGAAATTTATACAGATCTTTATAGTCAGTTTGTCCTTGGAAATTGTTCCAAAATATGAGTATGTACTCATATTAATCTCTAGAACATGCTGGGACAATGTTTTGAATCACTGCAGTTTAGAATTAGCAGTCCTTTTAAAGACAACAGAACTGGCAGCCATAGCACCCCATAACTATTTAGTGTACAATACCAGTCAATGTAAATTACCATCTCCCCCAACCCAGAAGTTGGCAGTTTTTACTTCTCAGCAGTCAGCACTGCATAATCAAAATTGCTGGAATGTGTAAATATCTGGTTTTGTCTCAGGGCCTGTTTATATGTATGATCCCGGCCAGGCGGACGAGGTGCTTACCGAGATCCCGCTCATAATACAAATTCTAAAGAGTGTTTATATGATCCTGCCACTTATCCCGCCTAGGCAGGATCTCGGCAACAGATGCCAGGATCCCGCCTAAACGAGATGAAAAATTCCCATACAAACACTTCATCCCGCCTAGCTGGAACGAAAAATTCCCATATAAACACTTCATCCCAGCTAGGTGGTATGAACTTTTCCCTTTTGAGCATGCGTAAATGCCTTTATTGCAACAAAAATATGACGTCAAGCTCACTTAAATGGCTTCATCCAGGCAATGTATTTTGTCCATATAAACACTAGGCGAATTTCCCATCTAGGCGGGATGAAAACATCCCGTCTAGGCAGGATCATATAAACAGGCCTTCAGTGACCCTGCTTTGCCCAATGGCCCCCACACTTCCTAGATTTGAGCAGGCAGGGATTTATATTGTCTGGTACCGGTACATAGTTTACCATAACCACAGGATATTATTGAAAGATTTCCCTACCAATTTACTGCCTCTTTTGAAATTGAAGATTTTTAAAAGCATTATATTATTTGCTTTGTCTGTGTGTTACTTTAAGAGTACCCTGGTTCCAGAGGCTCTTTGCAAGGTGAAAGAAACAAGATGTGAGAATGGAGAGCCTCTGGTCACATCAGGGTCGTATCACCAAGGGGGCAGTAAGGCTTATATGTTGAAAAAAGTCCCAAATATGCAAAGAATAATTAACAATGACAATCTAAAAATTGTAAATACAGTTTTCTTTAGGGGGGCAGTTGCCCCCTGCCTCTCCTCTGCTGTGTAAGGCCCAGGGTGACATCGGTTGCAAATCGCACTTCCACACTTGGTTAGGTTCAGAATTTGAATCTCGCATGTGATTGGCCATTTGTAAAAATATGCCAAACCGGGTTGGGAAATAAACATTGCTGTAAGCTAATTATAGCCTGTATTAAAATATTCTATTAAAGTCAATACATGCTTGGGCATGTATTACTAACATGTCCTGCAAAACTGATTAATATGTTTATCTCCTGAGAAATTCGATACCTTTTTCACCTGTAGGAGTATTAATATTCATGCTTGGTTGAGTTTAATAGAATATTTTAATACAGGCTATAATTAGCTCACAATAGTGTTTATTTCCCAAACAGGTTTTTCTTAAACAGGTTGTTTACAAATAGCCAATCACATCCAAGGTCCAAATTCTGAACCTAGTCAAGTTTGGAAGTAGGATTTGCAATCGATGTACACTTAAAAATAACACACAGGCAGACCAATTGCTGCAATTGAACTAAGTACCAGTCAATATAAGTCCCTGCCTGCTCGAATGTAGGAAGTGTGGGGTTCATGGGGCGAAGCAGGATCACTGAGACAAAACCAGATATTCATACAATCCAACAATTTTGATTATGCAGTGCTGAAAAGTAAAAACTACCAACTCCTGGGTTGGGGGAGGTGGTAATTTACATTTATTGGTATTGTACACTAAATAGATATGGGGTGCCATTGATCAGATGAACAGCTGCCAGTTCCGATGTCTCAGGACTGCTGTGATTCAAACATGTTCTGGAGATTATGAGTACTATTTTAACTTTGCTACACACTCATATTTTGGAACAATTTCCAAGGACAAACTGACTATAAAGATCTGTATAAAATATAAATCTTACTTTAAAATTTCCATCATAGAAAATGCAATTCACCTGCCTGCAAAAAGGTTAATCCACTTGGAACGTTCTCCGTGGTTGTGGACATTCATTCCACATCGAATGCATCCTGTCCAACATCAGCGATTGCCCAGTTTGTCAAGCAACAACGTTGGCAAATGTTGAAGCAATGAAGCTCTTGGAAGGCCTTGGAAAGACAGCAAATATTAACGCTGTTTGCCTCGGCGACTCGCTTTTGAGAGGACGAAAGCGACGAAGAAAGTGAGGCAGCCGATGACGATGAACCAGAAGACGAACAGAACGAAACCCTCGTGAACAGTTTGTTAGCAAAAATAAGCATTTCGCGAAGGTCTGACAATCGCCATTTTGCCAACCGGATATGTACAGTAATGAGTGTGTATGAGTCATGCGATACTGTCCTGGATCGTTGTGACGCATTTCCGATACGAGACGAGATGATATAGGTAATATTTAAAAATATTTCGGCTGTGGTGTGGGGAAAATAAGTTTAATTTAAACTGCCAAATCTACCAATTTTTTTTATGTGTGTGTTAAGATAGTGCAAGTGAGAGTATACTATTTTACGCGCGTTAAAACACTGTTATTCAAACATAAATATTTCGCAGTCTAGATCGAATTTAAAAAATCCCCCCGAGGAAATTAAAGAAGAAAGCATGCTTTATCAGAATTTCTCAGTTTTGGAGTAAAAAGTTTAATATCGAATGTCACGAGGGGCGTAGAACAAGGTGTTATTTTCTCACTCCTTTTGTTTATATGTTTCGAATTTCAGGCATTCTGATTGGTCAAGGACGCAAAATGTAAACAAACGCGCTGATTGGCTAACATTATTTACCCTTGTTCCTTGGAGGTTATTCCCCGTTGTTTCCCTAGTCTTATGCTCATTCTGGTGAATGAAGTTTCCCAGTTCGCGTCATGAATGAAATAATGTCACAAGGTTCAATTCTTTTTTCTCAAACATCGTGAAAAACTCCACGTTGGCATTCAACTCCCTATGGTCATCGGTTCATTCTAAACTTCCTAAGAACATATTTAACTTCAGTCTACGTTACATCAACAATTCTCTGCCTACTAGGAAAAACCTAGTTAAATGGGGTCTGTCATCATCTGCCGACTGTTCGTTCTGCTTCTGCCCTGAATCACTTTTGCATGTAATCTCTGGATGTAAGACATATCTAGACGAAGGGAGATATACGTAGCGACATAATTCAGTTTTGAATCTCATTGCGTCTAGCCTTCTCGACGTCGAAAGGTCCAAAATGTATGTAGATCTGCCTGGATTTGTTAGCCCATCTGTCATCACTGGTGACGAGTGACGACCAGACCTTCTATTGACAATTGAAAATAGGATTTTGTACATTCTAGAATTAACTGTTGGATTCGAAACAAACCTGAAAACTAACTCAGATCGGAAACATGAAAAATATTTAACTCTAATTACCGATCAAGAAAATTAATATGATGAAGTTAAGTTTGTTAATGTATCTATAAGCTTTTTAGGTGTATTTGGTGAATCGACGAATACTTTATTTGGTATGCTGCACGATCTGAAGTACGACGAACAACGTATTAAATATGTAAAGAAGAAAATAATTGCTACTTGTATTCGCACGTCTTATTATATATTGTGTAGACGAAAAAAGGACTGGAACAACCGGAACTTTTAAACTTTTAACTAAATTTAAAAGATTTTCACCTGTATATATATTTTAGTTTTATATTCAATTCAAGTGGACATCGATAAGCTACCTTTTATTAAGTGAGGTTTATCAATGTATATATATTATATCGTAAATATCTAATAAAAAGTTTCCATTTATTATTATTATTATTATTATTATTATTATTATTATTTTTAGAATTAACCAACAATACAATGATGCCTCCACTAAATTATACAATGCATAACACCGTAATAAAATTCTAAAAGCATATTTTAACATTGGCCAATGCCCTTCTTACTTTAAGGCGAATTATATAGCTATCAACGTTTGTCAGCTATTATCCGAAGACACTCATGTCAACAGTCCAGATAATATTTTTCTCATAATTGTCTCGCTTTCCCATAATACAGTCTTTTGCATTTCTCTACTTATCCAGTGTAAATCTTTCTCGTTGTTAAAAGCAACTCTCTTATATCATCTTTCAGTCTTTTCATCCCTCCTCCTAAACAGCCGATCACCGCTGGTATAACTTTCACTTTATATCCGTCCCGTCTTTCCCGTAATTCATAACAAAGCTGTTGGTACTTTCTTATCTTCTCTTCTCTTTTCCCGTCTTTGTTCGACTCATACGGACATGCCATGTCTATTAGCATAATCTCTTTCTTTCTGCTGTCCTCTAGCGTCAGATCGGGCCTCCTTGCCGTGCAACTCGTTCTCATCCTGTGTTCCCAATCCCAATATAGCTTCTTCCCGTTATTTGCAATTACTTTTCCTCTCTCCCATTTCTCTGTGTACCACTTCGTTCCTTTCGGTAACAATCCATTATCAATCGCCCATTGCACTGCTAGTACTTTTAACGCGTTGTCATGTCCTCTTACATACTCCGATCCCGCCAACTTTTTGCATCCTGCCAATAGATGTTGAACTGTTTCTCTAAATTCCCCACACAATCTTCACTTGTCTTGGTCCACTAGTCCTCTCATTTTCTTCCATGTTTTTGTTTCGATCATCTGTTCCTGCAATGTGAATATCGATGCTGTTTTTCTCGGGTCGGTGTTGCACTTCAGCCAACCATGATCATCCTTGTCAAATCCCATTGGTATTTCACTCTGAAGTCTCTTTTCTCTGAAGGTTTCAACCTTGTTCCTGATTTGCCCTTCCCTTATGATGTTCTTAAGCTTTTTCCATGCGACCTTCCAATCCACATAGCTTATTATTATTATTATTATTATTATTATTATTATTATTGAAACTGAAAACTGAAACCAAAATTGAGATCCTTGATGAAATCCAACACTACTTAAAGAAAATTGATCTTATCCCAATAAATCCATTTTCGAAAATACGCGTGGTTCAAAGTTATGTCTACTCAAAGTTCTTCTGGCGTTTTTCAATCTACTCGCTTACTATAAGCTGGATACATTCTAATCTGGACTCCATAATTTCCAAATATATCCGGAAATGGCTCCAGATCCCAATCAGCGGTAACATTAGTCATCTAAAGCTTCCTAAATTACAACTGGGAATTGATTTCTGTTCCCCCTCTGACATATATAATCAATGTAAACTGACAGTGCGCAGAATCTTGAGGACTTCTGTCAACTCCGATATTCAACAGCTATATACCAAAACGTCATCAAAAAACATCGTCACTGATGATATTATTGAACGGGCGGCTGCTGGTATCTCTGAACAATATATGTTAAGAAACGCTGCAAAGAAGATTCTGGTAAAGAAAAACCTTAACGAAATTTGGTCAAACTTTGTAGAACTAAAAGAACAATCCGTGATCATTACCTGCTTAACTGATACTTGCTATAAGAAGATGATTAAAGTATGGCACGAAATTGTCACTCGAATGCCCAGCAATATAGTATGCTTTGCTAGGAGAGCGTTAATTTTAAGTTTAGGAAATAATTCTAACCTAAAGCGCTGGAACATTCGTGACTCCGCCAACTGTGAGCTGTGCAACAAGTTACAAACCCAGCTACACGTTTTTTCCAACTGCAAGGTAGCCCTAGAACAACAACGCTATACTTGGCGGCATGACTCGATTCTGATGACTATTATTCATCACTTAAAAGTCGCAGTTGGTGCAGATCTTCGACTGTTTGCTGACTGTCCTAATTCAGGTACGACCTGTACTTCAACTTTATTTCGAACGCTAAGACCTGATATAGTGGTGGATTTTAAGGGTTCTGTATATGTGGTTGAATTAACTGTTCCCTACGAAACCAATTGTACGAAGGCTAAACGTCGCAAGAAAGAAAGATACAGACATCTAGGAATAATCCAGACTTACTGAATTTTTATTAGCTACTATTGATACAAAGTGTAGAGAATGGACCTATCTGTCTAACATAGTGAACTGTTTCTCTATTTTCCTGATTTAATTGAAAGTCTAATTATGTGATATATTTGTATAAATTATCATGTTATTAATAAAGATTTCTGTTGTTTAAAAAATTATTATTATTATTATTTTTTTTTTCCCTCGAGCTTACAGTCGGTTATGAATCCAATCTGCTAGTTAACGCCAATCGTAAGCGTCAAAAGTACCGTGATCTAATCAATGAGCAGGAAGCAGATTATGATAAAGTCAAGTTCGTCAATTTATCCTTGAGTACCCTCGGAGTTTTTGGCCGATCTTCTGAAAATTTCGATGGCATGCTAAGTAGCCTTAAATGTGATGCCAAGTATAGTAAATACATAAAAAAGCAAATCGTGAACATATGCATACGAACATCATATTATGTATTTTGTAAACGAAACAAGGTGTGGGATAACCCAAAATTAATGTTAATATAATCCTTCTTAATTAAAATAATTATTGTACAATAAATATATAGTATCAATTCAAGTAGACATTGATAAACTACCTGTAAAGCGAGGTTTATCATTGTAGTTGTATATATCTTAATAATCAACAAATAAAGTTTCCATTATTATTATTATCCTTAGTTTCAACGAAAAACTTTACTTGAATTGATCGTACTAACGTCACATTTTGTTTTTTTATACTTCTAATTAATCAATGATTCGTGTAAACTTGCTTGCGTTGTTTTCAACGCTAATAATATGTGGATTTTGTGGCAAGGATTTTGTATCGTTGGGCCGTCACTCGTGGCGCTGTAAAAGCAAAGTGGAATATGGGCAAGAAACCAGAGTAAATGCTATTCCTGCTATAGAAATGCCTTCACAAGAATGTTTGCCGGTTAAATCTTACCAGGCTGTTAAATGTTGCTGTGGTAAAGTCTGCAAAGGGGCGCGCGGTCTTAAAATGCACCAACGAAGCTGCAGAGTTATTGATGACCTTGAAGACGAGCTACAACAACAAATGTCGGAAGTATTAACTGAACAT